TAAAAATAATACATTTTATTAATTTTAACTTCAAAAATTTCTCCTATGAAGCAACGGATATACAAATAGTTAGGAAAAGTCTTAAGCATAAGGGTATTAGAGATTCATAAAATCCTATTTCACAGTAAATTCCTAAGAAATCATAATACTATGCATGTCTTCAATTTTATTATTTTATTTATTTATTTATTTGATAGAGCGAGAGAGCACAAGCAGGGGGAGCAGCAGAAGGAGAGGGAGAAGTGGGCTTCCCACAGAGTAGGGAGCCCGATGTGGGGCTCGATTCCAGAACCCTGGGATCATGATCTGAGCCGAAGGCAGACATTTAACCGACTGAGCCACCCAGGCACCCCACATGTCTTCAGTTTTAGAGATCTGTTCTTTCTGCTTTCAGATGTCTTCACAGTGGAAAAAAAATTCCACTAGAAGGATCTTCACCAGAAAATTCATCCTAAATTCTGTTTGGAAAAAACTTCCAAAGTTTTTCTTCTGTGAAAAAACACCAAAACCAAAACAAAGAAAATGAATAAATGAGAGTAAACATTGACATTATTTGTCCCATTACTATAGAATGAGTGTTGGGACACCTGGGTGGCTCAGTCAGTTAAACATCTGACTCTTGATTTCGTCTGGGGTCATAGTCTGAGGGACATGGGATTGAGCCCTGCGTTGGGCTCCATGTTCAGTGTGGACTCTGCTTGGGATTCCCTCTCTCCCTCTCCCTCTGCCCCTCCCCTGCTTGTGCTCTCTTTCTCTCGCAAATAAATAAATAAATGAATAAAATCTTAAAAAGAAAAAAGGGAGAGTGTCTACTTCTTGGTGAAACTGATTGAGGAATTCAGACATTGAAATTTTGATTTTTCTTGCCATGTAAGACCAGAATCTTTGTCCTTTTCCTAACATTCTTCTCATAAATTGGATTCTCTTTTTATGTGCAAACATCCATTTCCTTAAATTTTTTGCTACATGGTTAATTGTTCCTCTGTGATTTTTATGTGTTGGTCTTCGAGGAACAGTCTTAAAGCTTGGTGTTTCACTGTACATTCTTAAGGTCCATTGCAAGTATTTGCAAATATTTCTGTGTCTGATTAATCCATCTAATACTTCAAACTAGAAAAATAGAAAGGAAATTCCACATGGCTGTTATTGTATATTTTGAAGCTACAGTTTAAGCACAGGAATATGTAGACCACAGAGGCTGGGTATATGAAATGCACTCAAAGCAATCTTCAAGGAAGTTACACATATACTGTCAAAGCAAAGTCTGTTGCTGAATCCACAAGCATCGGCATATCCAGACACGGATCTGAGGATTCTCCAAATTAACTTCCATTTACTAAATTGAAGCTTACATATACAATATTAAAACTCATCAGAAACTTAGCAATTGTTTAGGATTTAGATATATTTTTCAAGAAGGAGTATTTTACCAATTTTGTAAGAATTTGCTAGTAGTTGACTTTTTGTTGTTTTTATTATTTTTTTGGGTGAACACCAAGGGTTTGCAAGCCTTTTGTGTACCTAGCTGGTTATATGTCTTTATTACTGATAATTTGCTGATAATTAATAAGAATCTACCTGATAACATTAAATATACAGAGTACCCAGTGTTTGGCATAAATTAAGATTTGGTAGCTACTGTTTAATTACTGTGGTTTTTGTTTAAATTTAGAACTCATGTAGGGTCCACTCAGTAAGTGGGTTTTATAGTTTGTAGATTGAGTATCTACATCTTTATCATCAAGGGTTAATGTAGATTTAAATGTGAAATCGAAGTCTCAAAAGCAACTGGACTTTTTCTTGCTTAGAAATTCAGAGCGTTGAATGGCTTGTTGTATTACAACTCCATGAATTATATTGATTTTCATTCGCTTACAGTATACGTTCCAGAATTGTCTATGATTTTGGACTTTCATGCCCTGCCTCATCTGTTGCCAATGGTCTAGTAGCTGAGACAGCAATCTCTCAAGAGCTTCCTGCTATACCATACTGAGTAGTGCCTGTATTGGTCAGTAGCTGGCCTATTGAAGACATTCATAAATGGCCAAGGAATGGTGTGAGAAAAAGGAAATACATAGAGGAAGAGGCATGCAGATGAGTGATTAAAATTATATATAATGAGAGAAAGATACTATTAACAACTATGTAGCACTAATAATACAGGTTATCAACTCTATTCCTAGACAAAGGACTCTAAAGTGTCTTCTTACGAATAAATTAGAGTAAATTTAATGAATTGAAGTTACATAGAGAAAACTTTTTATGAAAAGCTTATAAATATGAAAATTTATTTTATTATGGTAATATTATGGAAAAGGCAAGAAAAATGTGTACGTTAAATATAATGATTTACTATATTAAAAAATTCAGTGCTTAGAGAAAGCCAGAAATAAGTACATCAAATAGTTACTAAGGTAACAAGGAAATAGCAGTGATTTTAAAAATACCTTTTCATTAGTTTCAGTGTTACCCATTTTTTAATAAAAAAGCAAATATAATTTAGCACATGATGGAAATATATAATAAAGTTATTAATTCTATAATTTTTATCTCTAGATTGTAATTTTATCTTTTTGTAATCAAGTCCTTTGGTGGTGATCTTGTAATATATTTAAAATCAAGTTTAAAAAATATTAACTGTTGAGTCAGTATGCTTTCAGACCAACTGCTGGTATTGATCCCATTGGTTTTTATATTGTGAAGATATCATATGTATTGGAAAGCTGCAGACTAACTTGATATTTGATGTAGTTTTTGCAGAAGGCTTTTCAGGAATCATCTAGGTAACTTTTTAAACCCTGCACTCTTAGCAGCTCTTAAATGTATGATACTTAGTTAATTCATGACCATAGGGCCAACTTAAGATTTTATTTATTTATTTGAGAGAGAGAGAGAGAGCACACACAAGCAGGGGAACGGGGCAGAGGGAGAGGGAGAAGCAGACTCTCCACTGAGAAGGAAGCCTGACGTGGGACTCGATCCTAGGACTCTGAGACCAGGGCTTGAGCTGAAGGCAGATGCTTAACCGACTGAGCCAACTAGGCACCCCGTGGGCCAACTTATTCTATAGGCACAGTAGGTACTGTGCCTACTAGGCCCACGACACTTTTTGGAGTCCATGGAAATGTTTTAATTTTAATTTCTTCTAAAATCAGAATTAAAGAAACAAAAAAACCCATAAATATAATTGTGTATATGAATATATATATATACACACACATATATATGTATATTCATTTATTTCTTTTTATTTTTAAAATTTTTCTAAAGAGTTTACTTATTTATTGGTCAGAGAGTGAGAGCAAGCACAAGCAGGGGGAGCAGAAGAGGGAGAGGGAGAAACAGGCTCCCCACTGAACAGGGAGCCCAATGCAGGGCTGGATCGCAGGACTCCAGGGTCGTACCTGAGCCGAAGACAGATGCTTAACCAATTGAGCCACCCAGGCTCAATTTAAAAAAAAAAAAAATTTTTTTTAATGGTGGAAGGATCCCACAAAAAGCAAATAGGCCAGACAGAGCCCATGAAAGTTATAATGTGTTCCTGCATGACGTCTTAGTGCACGACTTTTTCCTTTCCCTTAATAATTCTATAATGAATTTAGGAAAAACATCTGAGAATAACAGTAACCTGTGGATCTCATGAAAGATCCTAAGAAAATCAAAGTGCTAAGATGAAAAATGTCAGCCCAGCAGAAAAATGCATTTTAAAATATGCCTTATGCAGGATGCCTGGGTGGCTCAGTTGGTTAAGCATCTGCCTTCAGCTCAGGTCATGATCCCAGGGTCCTGGGATCGAGTTCCGCATTGGGCTCCTTGCTCAGCTGGGAGCCTGCTTCTCCCTCTGCCTGCTGCTCCCCCTGCTTGTGCACCCTCTCTCTCTTTCTCTGACAAATAAATAAATCTTTAAAAAATTAAAAAATAAAAGGATTTAAAAAATAATAATAAAATAAAATATGCTTTATGCAGTGACCAGCGTCCATCTTGTGTCTCTTGTGTTCTTAATCAACAGCAGTATTAACTTGACTATACATAGTTGGTCCTTTGTTTATAGAGCAGCGAGTTTTCACTCCAGTACTCACCTCTGCTTAGATCTCTAGCTTATTTTAAGAAAACAACAGTTTCAGCAAAACCTTTTCCATGACAAGGAGTAAAACTTTTTATTGACAGTTTTATTAGAGTATTTATATTCCATTATATTATAAAATACAGCACTTGCCTTTGTGTGCCATTGTTTGATTTTCTTTCAAATATTATTGATTTTCCCAGATGTTTTAGGTAATTGCCTTGGTGTTTTAAAAATAGCGGTCATAATGACTAAAGATTGAAGACAACTCAGCATTTAAATAACCAAATGTCTTTCCCTTTCTTTACCCCAGTATTTTGGGAGGCTATGAAATATTTTAAGCTATTAGGTAAACTTTCCATACCATACAGTATAATTGTAGTGCTTTTACTTTCTTTGCCTGATACATATGGGCATACTTAATATTTTACTTTATTTTCCATTATTCTCATGTTTTTCTTCATTTTTTTCTCTCTCCTTTCTTCCTTAATTCAGTTCCACAAATACATATTATTTAAAGTTACTGTATAAAGAACTTAGGGAAATTTACTTTGAAGTCTCATTTTTCCCCCTTCCATTTATTCTTTATTGTTTTCTTCCTATATTTGTTCTTCTTTCCCTCTTACCAGCTTCTCCCACCCTCCAACTTTTTAAAATTTTTTTATTTAAATTCAGTTAGCCCAACATATAGTACATCATTAGTTTCAGATGTAGTGTTCAATAATTTATCAGTTGCATATAATACCCAGTGCTCATCACATCGTGTGCCCTCCTTAATCCCACCTGCCAGCTTTAAATGCCACACACACACACACACACACACACACACACGTGTACCTGAGTGATCATACTGAAGGTTTGTGTATTTGCGTGCCTGTGTTTTGGGAATCTTTAATGTCAGGCAGGATTTGCTAACTTTCTGTTGATTGTTTCACAGTCTGCAAAGCGATTCAATTTGTTCCTGAGACGACGTCTTATGGTAAAATAAGTGCTGAATGATGCTGCTTATGCTTTGGATGGCTGCAGTAATAGCCCCAGTCACTTTTATTCCAATGTATACCTGTGATTTGGAGGGAGTTTGTCACTGATTCCTAGTCCCCAGGCAACTGAGATTTTAGAATGGTGATTCTTAATTGTTTCTGGATCTGATTAGAACTGTGGACCCTCTTTCTAAAAAATATATATGTGTGTCTATTCATATACATATAATTTATGTATATATTATATATAATTATATTTGGTGTGCATACATATTTATATGTATTATATGTACTAATATACTGTAATATTTATATTTGGTATATATAGTATATATATTTCTATTTGGTATCTACATATGTATACACACACACATATATATATTACATACATATACACACACATACACACAATTTGCCTACAGCTTTAGAAGTTTATGAGCTACCAGGGATCCTGGACAATGAACCTTAGAACAATTACCTCATTCAAAGAAAAGCCACCCAGATGTTTGCCTCATTATAAATTGGCATTTCTAAGAACAGATCAAATATAAACACAGACACATATACACATTGCAAGATATTATCTTATTGTCATGTCTTGAGCAAAACAGAAGAGTGATGTTTTTTAATAGCCTTCAGTTATATGTAACAAAATTATCAGGCTTTTCTCCCCTAGTTTGCTTCAACCAGTTTTTTGTTAACAGTACTAAGACATGTGCCTCATGGTGATCGACAAGGTTACCAGTGATTTCTCCCTATTTTTAAACATTTTACTGTTAATATTAGAGCATGACATCATGGTGGAAGTTTGGGTTTTCCTAGGTAGCATTTGGCTTTCAGAAGGGAGGTATATATACCTATTTTGACTGAACACTCAGAAAAATTAGAGTCACTATTCATCTAGTTACTTTGTTTATTCCCTAATAGTCAAATACTCTGAGTGTGATTTTTGTTGATTTCTATGTGTACGTCCTCTGTTGTTAGAACTTCTCTGTGGACCTAGATTTAGCTTGCCAAACAATAAAAACTTTTGTAAATATATATTGTTTTAAAAATAATCTCTACCATGCAAATTTCGGCTGTCACAAACTAAGAACAAAAGAATTATTGGTTTCTTTTTTCACCTAATTTTTTGCTTTGATTATATTTAGTCCAATTAGTCTTCCCCCCCCCCCCGCTCCAGTTTGACTTCCATGAGTTTTGGTGGATTTCATAAAATATTTTAATGTTATGATGATTTACAAGAGCTCAGATGATTTTTTTGTTTTGATTGCTTTTCCTTTCTGTAGTGATTTATATAAATCAAGAGGTAACATGATAACAGTAAGTTTTCTCAGCTTCTTTTACTTACTTTTAGGAAAATGGAGATGATTATGCATCTTTTGTTAGGGTGCAGAGAACTCAGACATAACATTTGAATTACTATATTTTGATACTGACTGTCTAGACTCCCTGGGTGTATCTTGTTTTTTTATTTTCCCACTCATTTCCTCCTGTACAATGGGAGCTAGTTCTTCCCAAGACACATCAGCTCTGCCTTCACTTAGATAAAATACAGTTACTTTGTTCAAAGACCAGGTCAGACATGAAATTTTTGTCTTATACCTGACTGATCTATATCCATTCCTTTTTAGGGGAGGTCTCCCTGGCCTGCCTTGGGTGAAAAACAGCATAGAATACCATAACAGAAACTCATAAACTAACATAAATACCAGTTATGAAAAGTAAAAAAACACCCAGTTCTCCATTCACAGGTTAGCTGAAGCAATTGGAAAATTGCCTATGTTAAGTTATAACTGCATCACAGGGTGAGAGAGATCACTGACATCTACTGCATTACCTGTTTGCCATCATTCTAAGTATTATATGTGGGCTATTCCAAATATTACATATTATATATTATAAATAAACTCTGGGGAAGACCAAATCAGTCAAACATGAGATCTCTTCTTTTGAAGCTCTCTAGTGTTTTTGTGGTTTTGAAAGGGAAGGAATTGTTGAGCCATACAACAAGGGAACATTGAATTTGTCAGTTTGACTATTATACTGAGAGAATTGATAACACAGATTCTAAACAAAGGATGGATTCTGGTTGACTTAGGGACTGGTGTTGAAAGGAGATCTGCATGAGCGTTTACTTGTAGTAAAACCAGCTGGCAAGCTACCTGCTTTCTCGTTTTTAACTGCACCTTGATTTTATTTTAACCCTTCCAAAGTTGAATTAGAAAGTAGCGATTTTATGAAAACAGTATAAGCATGAGTCATCAATTAATTTTCTTAGAGTGAGATGCATTAATTGGTCTATAATTACACCCCCAAAGTAATGTGTGAACATGAATTATCTGTTGGACTAATTGGTATGTTCTTTAATGAAGATAACAAGTCTCCCTCTGAATATGCATTTTGGGATCAATGTATACATACGTTCATTTTACATTTTGGTATAATTGCATCATTTTTGTTGTGTATGCATGTAGTTAAATGCTTAGCTTCATCTTGGGTCTTTCTTGTATATATATCTCCTTTATAGAATTTCACTTTCTAAAACAAACATAATCTGTTGATAAAAACTCTGGTGATTTGTCTTCACCTGCCATTTCAGGACTGAGAAAAAAAATTAGACCAAATTTTAGCTAATTCTTTTCATGTTTTTGCCACTTGAAAATAAAACTGTGAAAGCTGTGTCATTCATGTCTTCTGCAGTTTAAAAAAGATGAACAAAGCAAAGATTCTATCTTCTTCCGAGATGGGATTAGGCAAATTGATTTTGTGCTCTCCTATGTTGATGACATAAAGAAAGAAGCGGAATTAAAGGCGGTAAGTACTTGGGTGAGAGAAATGGAATCATTAAAAGAAGCAATTTCTATAATTCAGCAGGGTTGTTCCCATGGAATTGTAAAAGTCAGAGGCCTCTCAAATGTTACTGAAAGCTGAGAGTAGGGGAGAAGATCTAAGAATGGATTGGATGTGTAAAGTCAGTTTGTGTTTTTGGACTATTTTGAACCCTACCTTCTTTATCTTTTTCCAAATGACTGGTATATTTTTTATGTAGCTCCACAACATTAAATGTGACCTCCAAAATTTGAGGGGTATGTCTGAATATAATATTTATTGTTTGTAGGCAGTTTTCATTTTGAAAATGTATGGCTAAACCATGCTGTCTGAAATAGCCTTCACATAATGCTCTATTCCTTATCCTGTTTTCTTTTCATTATAACACATCTCTTTCTGACTTACATGTATTCATTGTTTAACTTGTTTGCTATGTCCAACACCATAAATTAGATTCGTGAGACCAAGGACTTTGTCTTTTTCACTGCGGTATACCCAGATGCCTAAAACAGCGGTGGCAGTATCGTGGATGTTCAATAAATATTGGATATTTGAAATAGTGAATTAATAAATGAATCCATACATGTAAGCATGTACATACATTTACTAACATACTTACATGGGAAATAAATATCATATAAAATAAAAATAAAAAACAATAGATACTATCCCGTAAGACCCTATTCCTTTCTTCCACCCTTTTCTCCTGGAAGCCCTTCCATCAGGCCCCTGAAATCCACCCACAGTTATCATTTTCCTTTTCTCTGGGCTCTTCATTGAGGTTCATTGCCTTCTCTGAGAGTCCTCTCAGGTGGTGGTTGATTTTCACGCATAGGACCTTTTTCTGGTAAATGGCTGCCCTCCCCCCATCTAATTGTTGATTACAGTCTGTTCTTCCTCATCCCTAAAATTCCCCAAGCTTTAGCTCCGATCAGATTAATCATTGCCCTGCTTTGTTGCTGTCACTAATCTTTCCCTGGGTCTTCTGTTTTATTTCTCAACAGTTTGAGCTCCGGGTTCACTCTCATTCTCTCCACCAATATTCTCAAGTTATTGATTATTGCAATGAGTACACAATAACTATTTTTTTAATATTGTTTTATTATGTTATGTTAATCACCAACAGTGTAGGAGGGAACACAGATGAGTATTTTATCATCCTACCCCCTTTCTTCCTTGAACTCCCCTTTCCATTTTTCTTAGTCTCTGGATCAGCCATTCACTTACCTAGAACTTGTCATTACTGATAACTACAAGTCTTTATCATCTCATTGCAGGCATCTAACTATCTGACCGACCCCTCAAATATTTTGGACCAATACTCTTCCTTCTAGCAGGACCAGATAAGATACAAATACCTTAACCCCCTTTTCACTGCTGGTTCTTTTCCACTGCTTTCCTATGCTGCTCCAGCTTAACTCTAATGGTCAACAAATGTAATCACTCTGTTACCTATGCCTTCAGACCCCTGCCCCTCCCTCACTTGTGCTTCCTTGGTAAAACAGCGCCTGCAGTTAAACTCACCTTTCCACTGACGGTGTACCGGAACCCGGCAGAAAGAAGGACATGCAGTTCACTTACAGATTTTACCTCATGTTTGTGCCCGTGGACCTCAGCAGAGTGAAGTTAATCATGCCTCAGCAGTCATGCTTCACCTCCTTATTCAGTCCATTTTTCCACTCTCCAAGAACAAAAACCTTCACTTGATCTCAGTTTCCCTGCCAGCTACTCTTCTTTTCTCAAATTCTTTTCTGCCCCATTTTCTCTTAAACCCATTCCCATCAGGCCATCACCTCAACCATTCTGCTCATTTTTGTATAAATAAATCCAGTGATCAAGTCTCAACCCACATCTTACTTGACCTATTAGCAGCATGTTTCTCATTTCCTTCTCGTATGTATGTTCTTCACTTGAATTCCAGAACTCCATATCCTCTTGGTTTTTCTCTTATTTCATTTGTTGTTCCTTCTCAATCTCTTCTTCTCCCTGATCCTTTATTATTGTAGTGCCTCAGGGTCCAATCCATAATCCTCTTCTTTTTCCAGCCTGCATGCAGTTCTTTGATGAAACATTCTTTTTTTTTTTTTTAAAGATTTATTTATTTATTTATTTGAAAGAGAGAGAATGAGAGAGAGAGCATATGAGAGGGGGGAGGGTCAGAGGGAGAAGCAGACTCCCTGCTGAGCAGGGAGCCCGATGCGGGACTTGATCCCGGGACTCCAGGATCATGACCTGAGCCGAAGGCAGTCGCTTAACCAACTGAGCCACCCAGGTGCCCTTTGATGAAACATTCTGTCTCACAGTTATAAAACCACATCTGTGCTAATTCCAAAGTTCACCTTCCAGTCCATTCTTCTCTTCCACATGACTATTTTGTGTCTCTGCTTGGAAGTCTTACAGACATCTCAGACTTGCCATGTCCAGAATGAGCTCCTGAACATCCCCTGCCCCTCCTAAAATCCTGATGTATCTACAGGTCTTCCCCATCTCCAGTCACTGATCCTACATTTCAATAGTTGCAAAGGATGTAATTTACGATGTATTGCTAATGGTCCAGTTAAACCACTTTTTAGCATGTATCCATAGAACTTCAATATCATGGGAATTTGATACCCACCATTATTCATTTAAAAAAATGAGTTTATGAAGAAATCCTTCTTCCACACTTGAAATTTTACATCATTTATTTTTCTCCTTCATCTAAAATTTCCATCCCATTTTCCCCACTTAAATTTTTCCCGAAGTAAATATTTTACCTTTGGGAGTCTCTTGTTTGTTCAATTGTAAGTGTGCTGCAACAAATATATGTATACACATTGAAATGTTTTTATTTCCCTTAACCAGAACAGTCTAAGCCTTAAACTTTTTCTTCTGTTTTGAGTTTTTTAAACAATTGTACAAGTATATAATTGATAAAGCATCATGATTGTGTTACAAAATTTGACAATTACCAAACATAAAAAAATAAACTCATCATCAGTTCGTCAGTTAATGAGATGGACAGAGGGACTTTAAATATATTTTCTTTATTAATAGACGAACAAGGATTATTTCCAGAATGAGTTGGTTCAACTTCAGCTATATTCCTCTCTTGTTTTTATATGCTAGTATAAATTCATCTTGTTCAGATAAATAAGTAGATTGGAATAGAAAGATTATCATTTAAGCAGTTTTAATCTTTTTTGTACTCCTGAATTCTGTCTCCAAATCATAGTGATGTATCATAAAAAGAGTGTTTAATGGTCCATTGGCTAACAGTCCTTTTAGTTCTTCACTTTTGTTGACCTCAGAGAATTGGCAGCCATGTAACTTGCAAAAGCATTTGTTACTGGAATGAAAAGAGCCGTTTGCTTTCTCAGTTCTGATAACAATATTTTGAATGCCCCTCCTCCTTTTTGTTGTCCACCTCCCACCTTTTTCTTTGGTCTTCTGGAAGTTTGCTGTCTGCCTCAATCTGATAATATAAAAGAAGGGCAATTAGGAAGGGGTAGTGGAGAGGAAACTTTGCACCACTATCATAGACCTTTTCTCATCTGTAGCAAACTTTGCAAGTGGAGAAAAAGAGCACATTAAACTATCTTTTACTCTTTGTAAAGTTGAAGATATATCAAGGTAGACCTATCAATGTAAAGGTAAGCATTCTGTATTATCATCATAAAGCCAGTTACTATAAAATTCTTCACACTTAAGTTATAATGCAGGCCAAAGGATTTTTCAACAATCAGTGCATTGTTTTGAAGCCCGCAAGTAATGATCGTTTTAATTTAATTTTTCTTCTAAGTGAAGCTATTCTGTTCTTCAAGGTTAAAAAGTCATAATGATATTTTGGCTTAAAATTGAATTAAATACATCATTTCTTTTTAAGAATATTGATATATTTGTCATACTGAGTCTCCCCAACCAGAAGCATGATATGCCTCTCTGTTTTGTTTTTTTTTTTTAAGATTTTATTTATTTATTCATGAGAGACAGAGAGAGAGAGGCAGAGGGAGGAGCAGGCTCCCAAGGAGCAGGGAGCCCGATGCGGGATTCGATCCCAGGACCCTGGGATCATGACCTGAGCCGAAGGCAGACGCTTAACCATCTGAGCCACCCAGGCACCCGATATGCCTCTCTGTTAATCAAGGTTTTTTTTAATGTTATTTAGTAAAGTTTTGCACAGATTTACAGATAGAGGTCCTGCACATTTCCTGGAAATTATTCCTAGATATATTGGATTTTTATAGTTATATTGTGAATTTTAACACAGGTGAATAGCAGGACATGGTGCTAAGATGTGGGTAATACATAAAATACTTTTGCGTATAACCATGGGAGGGACAGAGGACCATCTGGAATAACAAGTCTGTTTATCACTGGGCAAATAAAAGTGTTCTACATAATTCTATTGATTTGTTTTTCCATAGGAAAGGAGAAAAGAATTTGAACAAAATCTCAGAAAAACAGGTCTTGAGTTGGAAGTTGAAGACAAAAGGGTAAGTATAGGTGTTAATTTGTACCAGAGTCTTGGTGTTTGAAGCATTGTTTTCTTCTGCTATGGACCTTGATCAAATAGACTTTGTGTTTGGGAGCAATACAGTAGATTTTTTGGCTACAGATATGTAGATGGTAGGGCCTGTGGTCTTCCTGGTAAATAAGCAGGTCAGTGCTCTGAATATAAGATAATGAGTTAAACATTGTTAAAATAGACATACATAATTCTATTCAGGGTACAAAGAAAGTGAAGACACAGGTCTTGTTTCATATCTCTCATTTTGAAGGCTGCTTGTAATCCGACCCTCTAGTTAACCTGGCTATCTTATAGCACAACCCACTATGTAAGCCAAGATGACTTTCTCTGCTCATGAATATGGCACATTCTTTTATTTATTTTTTTAAATCTCTTACCATCCACTGGTTTTCTAGAATTTCCTTCAAAATGGTTTTTAAAGACCTATTTCGGATCCCACTTTGTCCATGGAACTCCAGTATTCTCTAGTTCTTACTTACTGTTTTTACTGTACTAATAAGTATGTGTTACAGTCTATAACTTGGTCATTCTTCTGTGTCATGAACCCCTATTAAAGCTCTTCTTCTAGGTATAGGCCATACCTAGCTGGGTAAGAAGAGTATGTATGTCTTATCCTTTGCATGTATCCCTCATATATCCTAAGCACAGTTCTGAGCTCATGGTTAGTCACTAATAACTTAAGAGATTGCCCACAATCACATATGTATCTGTAGATTCTTGGCTAGTTTACATTGACTCTGAAATACATTTTTTAGTATATTCTTTCTTTGTCTCTGTCACATACACACACACATACACGCGTTTACACATATACATATATGTATATGTAAGTGTAATATATAGATATATATTCTGAGAATTTGTTCCTCTAGAAGTTTTGCTGAAAAATGTCAATAAATTGAAACTGCTGTAACATCTTTAGTGTGTTTGAGATTTTATAAAACTTTGTTTCTTTAATCAGTTTGGTAACAAATAAATCATAATGCTTCCTGTTATTTTGCCTCCTTTTTCTACAGAACTCTGAAGATGGAAGGACTTACTTTGTCAAGATCCATGCCCCTTGGGAGGTACTAGTTACTTACGCTGAAGTGTTGGGAATCAAAATGCCTATTAAGGAGAGTGATATTCCTCCAGCTGAGAATATCCCCTATATGCTTGGGCCTCTGAAGCTCCCAAAGAATGTGAGGCACCCTCATCCTGAATATTTCACTGCCCAATTCACCAGACATCGGCAGGAACTCTTCCTCATTGAAGACGAGTCAAGCTTCTTTCCATCCTCATCAAGAAACAGAATTGTAGGTAGAGAAGATCTTTGGTCACATCCCTTCAAGTGTGGTATATGTGTCTGTGTGTGCTTGTGTATGTGTGTGTATACATGTGTGATGCAATGTCTGCACAGTGTGTCTGCATACATTTTGATAAGTACTTGGTGGGATTGAGTGGGTTCAAAAGTCCACCTGGACCACTTAAACCTGTTCACCTACTGACTTATCAAACTTGTTTAAACACAAAAGTTTGACAGTATGGGCACAGTTAAGATAGAGGCTTCATGTAATACTGAGACAAGCTCTTAATTGAGAGCCAGGGCTTAGGTTTTATTTGTTCTTTGTAAAGTGGTTTTATAAACTTAGAGTTTGGTTTTATAAATACACTGCATAGCAGGAAGAATATTGGTCATTCCAAATGAAAATGGAATTTTAAAATTTCTTTATATATAGCTAGCGTTTGAGAAACCTCAAAACTTTTCCCTCTCATTTAAAACCATTTTCCGTCCTGAATAATATTTCCTCTCTATTTGTAGTCCTAGAATCTTTACGTTTCCCATTAAAAGCCTCTCTCCTAAAGAATCATGCTTCCCCTACCACTGCTTCCTCATGTTAAGGTAGGAATGAAGTCTACCTCATAGGTTACTCTGAGAATGAAGTGAGTTAAGGTATGAAAGACTTTGATACCTGAATATACTAGGTGCTCAATAAGTGTTAGGTATTATTGTCAAAATCAAATGAAAGACTCTGTGTGAAGCACTTTGCAAACTGTAGAGTACTTTAGATAGACTTGTTATGTTAAAAAGTAGCTAACAAAAAGTCAGGGAACCAGGAGGAGCAAATTAGGAACTTGATCAGGTATAGAAATATTAGTATCCATTTCTCTTTACTTGTTCTGTCTAAAGAGTATGGATACCTTAGATTAAGTTAGCTTTAAAACAGCAGTTTTTCCTCCTTCAGTGGAGCAGAACTATTTTTGCTCTATTGAAGAAGTTTTTTGGGAGATTAATGTGGAAGATCCCTTCCTTCCTATCCTCATCCAGGACACTCAAGTTTATGTATGTACACATTGAAAGTATTCCAAGAGCCTCTTACATTGGTATTGAATTTCATACTTCTCAAAGCATCTTCACAACCATCATGACATTTGAGCCTCGTGATGTATATTTTATAACATCTAGCATATATATATATTCCCAATTCCAACAGCTATTGAGTTTATTCCCAACTTTTCTGATTTACAAACAATTCTGTAGTTTTCAACCTGTTATTTACATATTTCAGTGTATATATAAATTTTTCTGCAAAATTGATACCAGATACAAAATTACTGGATCTAAGGGCACACACATTTAAAATTTTATATTGCACTATCACTCTTTACAAAAAGATGTACTAATTTGAGTCCTAGTAACAACATATGAGAGTGCTCCATGTTCCACATCTTTCTCGACATTAGAATTTACCAATCTTTCTTTTCCTTTCTTTTTTAATTGTGGCATAATATGAATAGAGGTAGGCCCCCAGGTTGCAAGCAAACAGCTCACTGAATCGTCACAAAGCAAACACAGCCATGTAACTGCCACCCACATCAAGGAGAAAAACTTGTTTACCCTCCAGAAGTCCTACTAACTTCCCAGTTACTGTTCCCATTGTCCTCAGCAGAAGTTGACTTTTAAATTTTATAAAAATGGAATCATGCAGTATATATTCTTTTGAGTCTGGCTTCTTTGGTTCAACACTTATTTGGGTGATTTAGCTCTTGTATGAGTTTTTGTGCATTCATTTTCATTACTTTGTATTGAAATTTATTTGTGTGTCATTATGGTTTTAATTTGCATTTCTCTGATATGTGTTTGGATGCTTTTATTGCTTATTTAGATAGGTACTTTTGTGAAGTCCCTGCTAAAGTCTCCTGTCTGTTTCTCAATTAGGTCTTTCCTGGTTGATTGGGAGAAATCGTTGATATATTCCTCATATGAGCCCTTTGTTTATCATATACGTTACTGATCTTTTCCTACCTGTGCTTCCTTTTTCTTTCTTTTAATGGCTTCTTTTGCTAAACAGATGTTTTTAATTTTAATGTAGTCCAGTTTCTCAAGCCTTTTCTTTATGAATCATGCTCTTAATCTTTTAACTACCACCATGACCATGACGTCAATTTCCTATGTTATTTTTTTTGAAGTTGTATTATTTTATTTTCCACATTGAAACCTAGCGTCCACCTGTAATTCATTTTTGTGCATGGTGCGGTTTCCCACCAGATGTGTGGTCATCATTCAGTTTGTAGCAATTATTGAAAACATTAAACTTTTCATACTGTTTTTCAGTTCCACCTTTGTCATAACTCAAGTTTCTATATATTCATCGGTCTACTTCTGGGCCCAGTACTGCAGCTTTGATCTTTTGTCTCCTTTTGTATTGATACTGACAATGTTGAACTTTACTTGAGTTCTGTAGTCCTAGAAAACAGGGACCGTTAAGGAAATCCCTCACTCCTTGTTCCGGTGAACTGCTTCCTTTAAAGGATCACCCTAGCCCCTATGAGTATTCATAGATAACCACTGCCCCCATCTCCCAGTTTGACTTGACAGCACCACTTGCCACATAGTTCATCCTAAATTCGCCTGGCGATTGAAGTGTCTATCTATGGTAGTTATCTTTATACCAAGAAAAAAATTAAGCTTCTCATATCTCTATGCCAAACAAGTAGTTACAGGTTGGAGTCAGGTGCCCAGTCTACTTTCCCATAGAAACAGGGAGGTGGGGATGCTATCTTGCTTGATGTTTACATTTAAAAGGGATGGCTCCTATAAAACTTAAGGAAAACACTCCTGGGTTGTAAAACTGTCAAGAGGCTTATTTAGCTTTGCTACGGATTTACATAAGTCTCAAAGGGATAGAGAAAGAGTTTATAATTACAAGCTCTCTAAAGGAAATGCTCTAAGAACAGAGAGGTCGGGGAGGAAGTCTCTTTCCCTTTTGGCACCAGGGAAATTTCAGTTCTTTTAGATTTATAATTAGCCTTGTAATTTCTCCCTTTTGTAATTAGTTTGTAGTAATAAGAGTCAAACATAGGCCCTCCATATTCTCACTCTTGATCTGATAAATGGCTAGCTGAACTATTTATCCCCACTGATCCATCAAAACAAAGTATTTGGTAGCTGAATTGACTGAACATTAATTAAACTTTCCTCCCACAGGAACCTAAACTTTGATGTACCCTTAACCCAAGCCAGCACTGGCATGTATAATAGCCCTTCCTTACCGCAAAGAAGGACACTCCCTCACCCTGGCTTGCCTCTCCCAAATGAATAAGTGAATGAGTGAATGAATGAATGAATGAATGAGTAAAAAGAAAAGTCTCTTTTTGCCTGACTTTTCAGATGTTCACAGGGCTCCCTATTACAATAGTTTCCCTCCCCCTCTTGTAATAATCTTTTCATATAATGTCTTTCCCAAGTCCAGATTTGTTTTGGTTTTTTTTTTTGACAATACCATGCTGTATTTTTTTTTTTTTTTTTTTTTTTTACCATGGCTTCATAATAAGTCTCAATATCTGGTGGAGTAAAATTTTCCACTTTGTTAATACCCTAGGACAGAGTTCTAATTTTGGTGAATCTTTCCTAAAGAAATAATCCAAAGTATGTAAAATAATTAATATCTATCATATTATTTGTAAAAATTAAAAGTGCTTTCATAAACTATGATATATTTACCAACATAAAATAGTAAGCTTCACTTAAATGAGTAACCAGATTAGCTAATGGTGATTCGAGAACAACCAGCACTCTAACCAACAATTCTTTAACTTAGGAGATGTGAGAAGGGGGGCGGGGAAGGAAATAGATTGAAAACAGTGCTGAAAATTCATCAGAAAAGCAGAAATTCTGAAAAGGTGCTGGAAAACAAAGTGCAGATAGTATTCAACTGGCAGAAATATGAGAGCAGAGAACACCAAAATTATATGGAGGAAAAAACTGATGCAAAGATATAGATGAATGCAAAGTAGTTGTAGAGATACGGTAATCTTGTGTTAATAAATTCAGATGTCAGTAAGAGGCCCTGTATAAATCCTCAGAGTAACTGAAGTAATCAGCATAGCTAAGTATCAATTCTATACCATATTCCCACAGCTGAACTGTTAGTGGTGATATTACACTCCCAACTTGAACGCCTGATTGTAGGAATTTTGGCACAAGACTTCCAGAGGAGCTTGGGACGGGAGAAGCAAAATAAATCATGATCCATTCCTGCCTCTCCCCACGGCAATAGACAGCTCCCATACCCAGGAGCTAAACTACCTGCAAACTCCATACAAGCTCACCCTCTACATCTTCCCTCAAACAACAGAGGGAAGGTTCCTTCTGTAATCAGAGCCTGTATCTACATTCAGACAAAGTTGGACATTGTTAAATTGCGATGGGAAAAAAATGTGGATAGCATAAAGTTCTGAAATGTGTGTCTGATGCTTACCTCATAGGTTTATTATATTCTCTCACGGTGTCCTTTTGGCATAGAAGATGGGAAGAAAAAGTTTGGAATTGAAAGACTGCTAACTTCTAATACTTACTCATCTGCCTATCCACTCCATGATGTAAGTATAAGCTTGGTTTTGAAATACTGAGCCCATTTTCCCTCTGACATTCAGAGGTCGCCTTGTTGGAAGAGAGAATCTTCCCTTTGCTTCCTTTTTTATGACAGGTTGCTTAATTCTTTCTCCTGTTGGGAAAATCCCCCAAAGACTCCCTAGTTCCCAGCTGAGAAATTTACTAGCTATGCCGAAACACATAGTTAACTTTACACTGTGGTTTCAATGGAAATTTATTTTTAAAAAATATTACATTTGTATGTGAATTTTCTTTAGAACCCATATTGAAAAATAGCAGTTTTATTAAAAAAAACAAACAAAAAACAGTGCAGAGTAGAATATTTGGAAATTTCAATCTGAACCCATCAGATCTTTTCTCATTTATGAAGTTTTGGCTTAAGTTATATGCATTTATGTATCCGTTCATTAGATACATGATTGGTTTTAAGTACATGCATACCTCCTTTTCTTGTGCCTTGCTTTATGGCACATTGCAGGTATTGGGGTTTTTTGTTTTTTTTTTTTTTACAAATTGAAGGTTCCTGGCAACCCTGTGTCATGGAAGTCCATTGGCACCATTTTTCCAACGGCATCTGCTTACTTCATGTCTCATTTGAATTTTTTTGGTTTCCCATTGCATATAGAAGTTGTTTACACTAAACTGTAATCTATTCAGTGTGCAATAGGTTATGCCTAAAAACGGTACTTACCTTAATTAAAAAGTACTTTATTGCTAAAAAATGCTAGCCATCCTCTGAGCCTTCAGCAAGTTGCAATCTTTTTGCTGGTGGAGGGTCTTGCCTCCAGATGGCTGGGGACTGATCAGGGTGGTGATTGCTGAAGGTTGGGGGTGGCCATGGCAATATGTTGAAATAAGAAAATGAAGTTTGCCATATCGATTTGACTCTTCCTTTCACAAATGATTTCTCTGTGCAGAGAGATGCTTTTTGATGAACGAGGTCTGTTCCTTACTGTCTAGTTGATTATCTTTGATATGTTTTCTATAAATAGAGTACAGCAGAATTTTCCAAAATGGGTGGCAGTTTTTAACAGGAGTATCAATTCCGGTGAAATTAACTTCAGTTGTTAGAGAAACCATCCTCCTTCCCCAAACCCCGCCTCCCTCCACGCACATTTGGCAGAAGATCTAATAGGGGATTAAAGATTCAATATAATGGCGTGGTCATTTGGTAGAGAGATATATAGTGGGTTAATAAACACTATACAATGCATTCTCTGTCAGTCTTTCTTCACAAAAGGGCTCATTCCGTTTTAGAAGATTTTGAGGTTTGTTTTGTTTTTAGGGCATTAATTCTCTTCTTACTATTACCAGGTCATTAAGCCAAATTAATATCCTCAGTCACCAGCAACTTTAATCTGTACATCCAGCCTTCCCGCAGAGTCATTTATGATCACTAGAAGATGAGTGGTACTTAGCTGTTGTGAGAGATAGTTATAACTTACTGTTAGTTTTACTTTTTTTTTTTCTATCCTGAATGCAAGGTTAGGTACTGGATTTTCCCTTCTGTGCATTAAAGAATCATTTTTCAAGATACCCAAATAGGCTACCTTTTTAATTTATTTCAATTTTCAAGATTCAGTAGGATTAGCTACAGAAGAAGAAAAAAGTTGGAATCTAGGTGATATAAAATCTTACACCTTATTATATTGAGATTTTCACATGTGCTTAATTTTCAATTGGGTATTTATTCATGTTGTCTTCGGCAGTTCATTTGTCTGGGCAAACAGTTAAAAGAATGTGTTGAACCACCATGTGTAGACAGTACTCTGCTATGTCCCGAAGGGATATTTTTTTTTTTTTAAGATTTTATTTATTTATTTGAGAGAGAGAATGAGAGAGAGAGAGAGCACGAGAGGGAAGAGGGTCAGAGGGAGAAGCAGACTCCCTGCTCAGCAGGGAGCCCGATGTGGGACTTGATCCCAGGACTCCAGGATCATGACCTGAGCCAAAGGCAGTCGCTTAACCAACTGAGCCACCCAGGCGCCCTCCTGAAGGGATTTAATAAGGCAACTCAGTATGTAAAAATGGGGGAAATGCATGAAACAGTACTGAGGAAATACTTTCTTTTTGAATATCTGTAGGGTCAGTATTGGAAGCCTTCAGAACCTCCCAATCCTGTCAACGAGAGGTACATACTTTGCCAGAATTGGGCCCGGTTTTCCTATTTTTACAAGGAGCAGCCTTTAGATTTGGTTAGGTAAGTTCCTTAACATAGTATCAAACTGATTAAAACTTGATGTGATTTTTATTCACGATGGCATCGCATTCCCTTTCTTTTACCACTGTTTTCATCCACAACATGTTACATCTTCCCAGTTTTGTATCCACACTATCATGTAGTCATTCATTTGAGAATAGAAAGCTGTTGCCAGAATACCTTTAACTACCATGCAGAAGTAGCTCGGTAGTTGGTATTTAGGTAGGCTGGGTTCAGATCCAAGTTCTTCCTCTTAGAGGCTACAGAAACTTGGTCAAATTATTTAATCTCTATGAAGCTCATCTGTAAAATGGGAGTAACAATGGCGCTTTCCTTATGGGGCTGTTTAATAATGAAATGAGACATGTCTATATTTTTAGCATAGGGGCTAGCACTTAGGGCTTCATACGTATTAGTTTTGTTTTTCTGAGTCCGGGGATTTAGAAACTAGCAGAAAGCTTGTGCACAGAGGTCTGTGTGCGTGCGTGTGTGCGTGCGTGTAGATCTCAGAGATCTGTGAAGGCACGTGTTCCGTGACCTCAATTCTTTAGACAGTTTCATTGGCTAAGCAAGAAGCCTGCCATTGCAGGTTCCTGCTTTGAACCCTGACAATGCCCCATACATACAGGATGTCAGGAGACTCGTGCCAGGATTTCAGTAAAGGAACAATCAGATGAGACCCCTGGTTGCTACACACCTGGTGTTTCACTTGGGGGTTTATGCTGGTAATGCTATGCTTGCACAGCATCACAGTGTCCTTTTTATGAGGCTGATGCCCCCAAGTCAGTAGAACAGTTATCTCAAAGATTTTGTTTAAGGCAAGTAAGTGGAGATTTTTAAGAATAAATGAAAGGCAGGTAGCATAGATAAGCTGGTACTTTCTGTAAATCATTATATGAACTCTTTGTTGGATAGATGTTTTAATTGTTTTGGATAATGGTCATTTAACAATTCAAATAGTGAAGAGACTTGCAAAATGTTAAGTGAATTTCTAACTCTGTCGAACTTGGCAGAAGTAATTGCCCTTGATTTGGTATATCCATTCAGTTCTATTTTTTTGTGCATGTATAATGAAATGCATACACAGTCATATTTTTTCCTTAGAAAAAACAATGGCATATTTATTTACTTTTTTGCTGTCATTTTCTTTTTGCGCTAAATAATATATTATTGGTACTCCTCCTGTGAATACACACAGATCTATCTCATGCTTTTTAACAGAACACAGAGTGCCATATTATAAATGTTGCAAAATTCATTTATCTGTTTTTCTGTCAGAAAACAGGCTGTCCCAGATTTTTCACTGTTACAAACCTGCTGCTAAGGACATTTGCAGACATTGGGCCCTTGGAGAATGTTTTCATAGCATATTTTTAAAGAAGCATAGTCATCAGAATGAAGGTTTACATAGTTTATATTGCTCAAAATATATTGAAAGTATGTATTCATTTAACGTTTTTAAACTATCAACAGGTGTTTCTACTATGAGTATTCTCCAGCGATTTGTATTTTTGACCATTTTTGACCGTGGGTATATACAAACACATTACATCTGGGGTCAGTGGGGGTTATATCTGTAATACTTTGTGAGCCCTTGCAAATTTCCTTTTACAACAAAATGGAAACTCAGATATTTAATCAGGTGACAGTGCCTAGCATAAATTTAATAACTTTTAAAAGTTTTTCATCTTCTTACTATAATAAGTTCTCATTTATAGCAAGCTATACTGCTTTTCCATTTCAATAGTAAAATGATATTTTTAAATAAATGTAAAATTTTAACCCAAGTTTAATGTAAAGAACTGATAACTTAGGTGAAAAATTTTTTAGTTAACTTAAAAGGCAAAAAAGAAAACACTGTGTTATCACAGAAGTAGCAACTACAGAAAACAACTATTATCCCTAGGGTTTCTTTTTAGTGTTTATGTAAGATAATATTCTTTTTCTAGGAACAGACAGTGAAGTATTTAGGGATAAAGGACCATGACATATTCAACCAACTTACTTTCAAATGGCTCATCAAAAGATATCTACATCTATATTTATATCTCTATCTTCATATATATATATATATATGAAGAGAGAGAGGGAGTTATATGAAGAGAGAGAAAGTACAAATGGAACAATATTTTTGCAATAAAAGAATTAAAGAGTATATGGAAGTTATCTAAATTATTCTTGCAACTTTTTCTATATATATGAAATTATGAACAAATGGAGACTTTAATAAAAGGAGAGTACAGAAGTAGTAGATCCACACATATATAGTCAATTGATTTTCAACAGAGGTACCTGGTCATTCACTGGGGAAAGGATAGTCCTTTAAACAAATGATGTTAGAACAAACAGAAATCCATATGCAAAACATGAATCTTGATCCTTTCCTATACAGAAATTTAAACTAGCTTGAAATGGATCAGGGAACTTAGTGTAATGGCTAAACCTATAAAGCTTCTAGAAGAATGTTTAGCAGAAAAATTTGTATGGCCTTGGGTTTGGCATGGACTTTTCAGGAAAGACACAAAAAGTACAATTTAAAAATATATAAATTTGACTTCATAATAATAAAGTCTGCTCTTTAAAAGACACTGTTGTAAAAATAAAAAGGCAAACCACAGGCTGGAGAAAATACTGGCAACACACATATGGACAAAGGACATTTAGAATATTTTAAGGAACTCTTACAATTCAATAAGACAAAATCATTAAAAATGGACAAAAGATTATAACAGATACTTCACCAAAGAAAGTATTTATGGATGGCCAGTTAGTAATCAAAAAATACATAGCATCTGTATCCACTAGAGGAATAAAAATTAAAATGTCTGTCATTGAGATGCTACTACACCACCCACTATTATAGCTAAAATCTAAAAGATTGAGAGCAGTGAGTGCTGACAGGGGTGTGGAGCCGCTTGAAATCTCTAAGTGCTGCTGGGATGCAAAATGGTGGAGAAATTCTATAAAGAATTTTACAGTTTCTTATCAAGTTAAATATGCACCTTTTTTTAAAGACTTTATTTATTTATTTGACAGAGAGAGAGACAGAGAGAGAGGAAACACAAGCAGGGGGAGTGGGAGAGGGAGAAGCAGGCTTCCCGCGGAGCAGGGAGCCCAATGTGGGGCTCGATCCCAGGACCCTGGGATCCTGACCTGAACCGAAGGCAGACCCTTAACGACTGAGCGACCCAGGCACCCCAAATATACACTTTTTTATGACCCAGCAATTCCCCTACTAAGTCTTTACCCAAGAAAAATGAAGCATATGTCCACAAAAACACCATTATTTGAATGTTCATAGCTTAACTCATAAGAAAAACCTGGAAGCAACCCAAAGGTCCATCAATTGATAAATGGATAAACAAACTATCATGTATTCAGACAATGGATATTTTTCTCTGAGATAAATTACTGATAAATGTAACGTCAAAGGATGAATCTTCAAAGCATTTTGCTAAGGAAAAGAAGCAGGCCACAAAAGCTTGCATAGTCCTATGTTTTCATTTATAAAACATTATTCTGGAAAAGGCGAAACTATAGGGATATAAATTAAAGTAGTAGTTGCCCAGATCTTGTTATTGGGGAAGGGGTTAACTGCAAGGGTCTCAAGGGAACTTTTTGAGATGATGGAAATGTTCTGTATAGGTTGATTGTGGTGGTGGTTATATTGCAGGGTTGCAGGATTGCGGGGTTCTTGTCTCATGGAGTTGAAGGATAAATCTTGTGGAAAATAGGGTGAACTGAGAGTTTATTAAGGGAAGTTGAGAACAGAAAGGGAAGCTCTCTAGTCAGGGGTTCCGAATGGGTTGCAACTGAGGGCTTTTATGGTCGGTCTTTTATAAAAAACTGACCAGGGAACTTGGCAAATATCTTGTCTGTAACATTTAAGAAAAACAAGGTAGATTTGTAAATATTCTGAAAATATCTTGTCTATATTTAGAACAAACAAAGTGGATTTGTTATGTTTTCTTCTCTCTAGTTAATATCTTGTATATAACATTTTTTCCACATCTGGAATTTCTTTTTTTTTTTTTTTAAGATTTTATTTGTTTGAGAGCAAGAGAGAGCATGAGGCAGGAGGCAGAGGGAGAGAGAGAAGCAGACTCCCCACTGAGCAGGGAGCCCGATGTGGGGCTCCATCCCAGGACCCTGAGATCATGACCTGAGCTGAAGGCAGACACTTAACTGACTGAGCCACCCAGGTGCTCCAACACATCTGGGATTTCTGTGAGCCTGGTCATGTAACCCCCTACCTAGCCTCGCCTGTCTCTTACTTAGTTACGAGAGTGCATGCATTTGAACTTAACAAATTATACACTTAGGTATATTTTATTATATATGAATTACACCCCAATCAATTTGTATAGAAAACAAAACAAAATAAACAAAAACCCCACTCCTCTTAGAGGATTAACTTTCTGGGATAGATGGTGAGATGGGTTTAGTGAAGAAACTCAGAGGGGGAAGGGGTAATTCCTTCTTGGAGAAATGAGCACCATTGGCTTGGAGGAGCTGCAGTCCTTACACAGTGACCTGGACAGTGTTGAAAGCTGTTCCCCAGGGACACCTGGATGGCTCAGTTGGTTAAGCGTTCTGCCTTCGGCTCATGTTACGATCCCAGGGTCCTGGGATCGAGCCCTGCATCAGGCTCCCTGCTCGGCAGGAAGTCTGCTTCTCCCTCTCCCACTCCCCTGCTTGTGTTCCCTCTCTCACTGTCTCTCTCTCTGTCAAATAAATAAATAACATCTTTAAAAAAAGAAAAAAAAAGAAAGCTGTTCCCCAAAGATATTCCTAGTATAGGTGAGGCATGTCTGGGGACTCCTCAGGATGCCTGGAAGGAAATGACGCAGGAGATGGGGGTCAAGGCCTGCAGTTGTGCAAGTAGGAAGTGGCAATTGGATGTGGATTCCTAGATTAACACTTAATGTGATCTCATTTATATACCAGTCATTAAGCTATTGTTCCTCAGCTGCAGCCCACCTTTCTATAATCTGCTTTGT